GTGTTTCTTCTGTAACCAGGTCTAGCGATCATGTTAACATGAAGAGAAGGGAAGTCATGTTACAGATAGCTTCCTCTGCTTTCTTCCTTCCGTTGATCGTTTCACCTGCATTTGCAGAGACAAGTATTGTTGATTAAAAAAGCTCGCTTTCATGTTGATTCCTTGAGAGTATGGAAGCATTTAAACTCTGTTTTTCTTTTATCAGACGCAACAGAGACTTTCCGTGTGTACACAGATGAAGCGAACAAGTTCGAAATATCAATCCCACAAGGTAAACTATTAAAGCCTCTGTTTTTTTTTTAGATACTTATTGTAGTGACCAAATCTTGATTGATGATGAATGAATATGATCAAAGACTGGCAAGTTGGGCAAGCAGAACCAAACGGATTCAAGTCAATCACAGCTTTTTACCCTGAAGAAACTTCAACTTACAATGGTAGTATCATCACAAAGGAGGTTCCTTTTTTTCATCTTTCTTCATTTGGTAAGAAATCAGAAGCTAACTTGTAGTTGACATGGATTGTATCAGTGAGTGTGGCGATCACTGGACTAGGCCCGGATTTCACTCGGATGGAATCTTTTGGAAAGGTCGAAGCTTTCGCCGAAACACTGGTTAAGTCTCTTAAACTCTGCTCACCTCCAAATTCAAACAGACAAGAGTTTCTTAAAGATGTAAATATGGTTATTATAGGTCAGTGGATTGGATAGAAGCTGGCAGAAACCAGCAGGAGTGACTGCAAAGTTAGTCGATAGCAAAGCTTCTAAAGGTTAACAAACAAAAACTTTAGTGAGGACTCTCTCTGATGTATTTGTTTGTTCACTGACACAAGTTAGCTCTCAGGTTTCTATTACATTGAGTACACATTACAAAACCCTGGAGAAGCTCGGAAGCATTTGTACTCTGCAATTGGAATGGCAACAAACGGTTGGTACAACCGTTTATACACTGTCACAGGACAGGTGGAGTTCTAGTTCCTAACTTCCACATTAATCTCTCTGATTGGTTTCCTATGTCTTAATACAATGATGACAACACTTTGGATGTTACAGTTTACAGATGAAGAATCTTCTGCTGAACAAAGCTCCAAGATCCAGAAGGTAAGAAAACTCAAGACACAACAACAATGAGGGATTTTAACTAAAACCTGTTGCTTATGACTTTTTTTCCTCTGTTTTTGCAGGCAGTCAAGTCTTTCAGATTCATATGAGAGAATGTCATTCATATCTATCAGTGGAACCAAATTGATCAAACATTTTGTTTACTGAACAATCACTTTTTGCTTTTTACAATCAAATTCTGAGAAAAAAAAAGCTGACTCCATACATTGAAGTAAGCTTTCGGATAAACAATACATCAGTGTAATAAAGACATCGAAGAAGAGAGAAACCCTACAACAGCTAAGGATATAAATATATATGCAGTCACAGACAAGAACATGAACATGCTTTTACTTACAATGCAGGACTTGAGAGACAAGGCTATATATATATACTTATGAATGTTTACTCACTACACTCCTCTAACCTGAAGGAAGTGTAATGGTAATTAGTGACTAAAAAAAAGAATCAGACTTTGATTCTACCATGTATATGCTTGTGTATGTATGTATATATATATATATATATGCATATTGTATACCAACGGTTTTTCACTCCCAGTGGAAAAAGCCGTTTTAGTGCCTGCAAACTCAACCTGAGCTTGAGCCAGCAGCATTTTTGTGTGGATGTGTTTAGATATATACACATTTGACGGAATGGAAGCACAAACCCTGAAACTCCAACTTCCTTTTTCTTTTTCCTTCTGTGCCTTCCCAGTGAGCAAGACTAGTTTATATAACCTATAGAGTGATAAGATCTTGTCATCTTGGATGTAAATGAGATCAAGACGTTATAATGATGCTAACGCCAGTTACAGTGATGTTGAATAAGAAGCACATACCTTAAGGATGCAAGACTTGATTAAACAGGAAGCCTCTGTTGCTGCCACCTTGAATAGCTATTTCTCTGCCGCTTTAACTTCCTTTCTCCTCAGTCTTCATGGATAACTGAAACCATTACAATCATACAAGTTATGAAATGATCAAATGTGTTACACCAATATAAATATAGCATTTTACAGATTCTGACCTTGTTGTTTGGTCAGAACCGTTACTCTGCATAAATTGAGGGGAATGGACAATGATATGAGACTGTACTGGAGCAGGGCCTGAGAAACAAACATTCAAAAGAGGACATAACCAAATTGCACCTAAACTTTATCTTCACCATAACGCCTCTTAACACAGAAGTCTAGAGCCAATACTCTGAGATTATATCAGTGAAAGAGAGTAAAATGCACCTGAAGGGTATGGAGACTGAAGAGCAGACATAGAGGAAGTGGTCATGGCAGTGGCAGTTGGTCCACCAAGCTGAAGAACATGGCTTCCTGGAACCGAATACCCTTGAATTGCTGTATAACCGTGGCCACTCTGGTTTAACTGTCCGTATTGATAAACCGGTGAATTAACTGCACCAGGTACTCCGTAGACCTGAAGGTACTGCTGCCCCATGTATGGACCATACAAACCCTAAACCATGAAACAAGATATAAGATACAAAGAGAGAAACCAACAAGAAACTTCAAATTCAAATGTTGAGAGCCATTACAAACCTGTGGTGACTGTGAGTACATGTACTCAGGTCCATATGCTGTAACCCTGAGAGAGAGGGAGAATAAAAACAAACATTAGAAACACATTACTGAAACCACAGACACATACATTAGAGTAACGCATGACTCACCCATAAGGATACACAACTCCTTGTTGGTAGTTATATGGGAGTGGTTGCTGATACGGATAAGTTCCAAAAGGTGAACCACGAGGACCCTGCACATTTCCAATGTACGGCGAAGAAGCAGGTCTTAAGCGTCCTAATAACCAAAGAAAAAAACCACCAATCCACTAAAATTACAGGTAAATATACAACGGCAATGATCCACACTACAACATATTAGTAGACCAAAACAAGCCAGTCTTAATAAGAGAAAAGGGCAATGGAGGATAAGACTGACCAGGCATGTTAGGTACCAATGCATAGGGTAGTGGAGGCCGAGGTCTCCCAAGGGAAGCAAGATTACAGTTTGCACGTCTACCATCTATAATGGGAGTTGGGTCAGCACAAGCTCTCCTAGCAGCTTCTGGATCTCTAAAAGTCACCTAAATTCCTCCATATGAAATTGAAAACAGAGCATTGAGTCATTCTACAAGCTTGAAAACAGAGTAAAAGCTAGTGACTTTCTAATTGACATCACCTAAGAATCTAGACTACGGAAACTAGGTATCTTTAAAGCAACATTTTAGCATCTCTAGAGACAGAGGAAGATGAATGAGAAGGAGAGAAGAGGAGACTCACAAAGCCGTAACCTTTGGATCGGCCAGTGTTCTTATCGGAAATGACGACGGCTTCAAGGATTTCACCGTACTGATCGAAATGGCGGCGAAGGGTTTCACTCTGAGTCTCCCAAGCAAGGCCACCGACGAACACCTTTGTGAAAGTTGTATCTCCGAAAGGTGAATTCAAGTAGTGAAACCCAGAGCCAGGAACCGGTTGATACGCCATGAGAAAGGAGAAGGAGAGAATAAAAATGGAAACTTTATCTCCAAAGAAAGAAAAAGAGGATGGAATTGAATTATGGACAAGGATCAAATTCTTAAGTGATGATAAAGGTGACCGAGTAAACCCTAGACATAATTGTAATGATTAAGCTAAGTGAATACCGTAGAGAGTAGAAATGGAAACTCCCATCGAATTAGAAACGGAGATTCTAGGGTTTACTCGGAGATGGGGTCGAAGTGAAGATAAAAAAAAAAAACTAAAAGATCATTCCCTACTAATGATGATGAAAAGAGGAAAAGAGATCAAATTTCCCGGAAAAAAAATAAAGAAAAGCAAAAGCAGTGTGTGGGTTTTTAGGATGGGCCAGAGAGAGGACGAAGTCGGTGGTGGGTGAGATTTAGGGTTTCTGTACTACTAGACGACGATCACACAACAGAGAGAAGAGAAATTATAAAGAAAGATTGAGCAACGGAGACGAATTTAGAAACTCTGTAGATGTGTATTACAGGAAGAAAAAAAACGTGGAAAACAAAATTAAAGGAAGGAGTGAAGAAGGAAGAATCGATTTAGGGTAAAGAGAGGATTTGGTTTGGGAAATTCCATTGATGGTGATGATGAAGAAGTTGGTGATGACGATGATGATGGTGCGTGATTTGTTCAAGAGGAAGAGAGAGAGAGAGAGAGATACTTTTGTTTTTGGCCTTTGTAAATGACGTGGGACCCACTCTTTGTAATTGTGTAATTAACGTTGTAAACTTGTAATCATCGGTCTCTCTGTGTTGTACTGTTGTCTTATCACATTTATCCGTTCATGTAGTAACGTTGCATAGAATGTGAATTGAGTTTTGGTCCGAAAGAAATTAAAAACATCAAACTGTCCTGATTATTACTGAGGATGAAAAATTATAAATTTTCCCATCATTTATGAATTTGGACGGTGTAGATGAATCCTCGTCCTCGGAAAATCCCAAATCAATGGCTAGGGTTACTTGAGCTAGTGACTCATTTCAAAACCCCACAAAACCACAATTGTGGTCCAATGTCAACGATGTTAATGAACTGTAAACTAATGTTATATCCTACTAGATTACAAAGCTATAACGACATAAATTAAAGTTAGTTTTTTATTTTGCCGCGGACATTTCAATCTATTGGTTGGTCTCAAATCCACTAGTAAACCAAATTGTTCTAAGATACAAAAAAAAAAAAAAAAAAAAAAAAAAACAGAGAATCTGAAATTTTCCATTAATGAAAGTGATAAAGATTTGATTTTTCCAAAGAAGAACACACATACAGTATATGATTATGATCCTTGTAAGAAGAACATAGTGAAAACCATTTTCATGGAATCACTTTATTTATACAGAGTCTAATAATAACAAGTGAAGAAGCCACTCTTGCTTCACATTGAGTAAGCTATTTGCTTTGGGAGATCACCAGAAGCTTCAAAGCTCACAACAGAATCATCAATGGTTTCTTCTAACGGCCTAAACTTCCATCCCAAACTCTGCAACTTCTCTGAACTTAGACGAAGCCTCTCTTCCATCACCACCTCCTCTTTCCTCTCCCTGAAACTGCCATTTACACATTTGATCAGACCATACCGGAAATCTCAAAGTTTTGGAAAGAAACCGGTTTAATTTCTACTCTTTTTTACCTTTCAGGGAAGTTCCGGTTAGGATACATATTCCTCAGTATCTCCGTAAGAGAATCATTGTGAAGTGAATAAGAATTGCAAATGTATCTTCCTTTCGCTTCTTGATTCTCATACACCAACACAAGCGCATCCGCCACGTCACGCACATCCACAAGATAAAGTTGATCACTCAACAAGGACTTTTCAAAGCCTAACAAGACACACCAATTTTTTTCCATCAAAATCTTTCAAGAATGAAATCTCTTAAACCAAGAAACACACATCACCTTTTATAAACTTGAGAAGTCCCAAACTACTAGAGTTAAGCGTGGACTGAAGCCTAGGGCCTATTGTGACACCGGGACAGACCGTAACAACATCAGCTAGGTTTCTCTTGCTCCACTCTATAGCTTCACGTTCCATTAATGTTTTGGCAAGATAGTAATAAGGCCAATAACCCTGAGATCCTCAGATTTTTGCATCATAGGAAAATCACAAAACTTAGCAACATCTTTAGGCCACTTTGAGTTAAGCAGAGGACCTGAAAGTTTAGATAAGAAAGTTGAGAAGATAAATGACCTCAAGGGAGTGAAGCAATTGAGTGTCTGACCAGCAATCTTCGTTCTTAGCAACATTAGGCCATTTTGGGTCGTAAACAACTGCAGCAATTGATGACACAACAACAACTTTCTTCACTTTAGCTTCTGTGCATGCTTCTAGAACGTTTTTGGTGCCAGTGAGAGCTGGTGTAATAAGTTCTTCCTGAATGTTTTAGATACAAAGCCGGTTTTTCTAAGTGATTCAAGAAAGAAAGCAAAAGAAAAACAAATTGCCAAAATATTCAAGAACTTGCCTCTGTGAGAGGAACTCCTTCAAAAGGCACAGGACAAGCAATATGGAAAACGCCAGAACAACCAGAAATGGCTGTAGAAAGACCTTCGTAATCAAACAAATCCGCCTTGAAAAGTTTCAGATTCTTCGCAGCGTTATCCAGTTTCTTCAAATGGTCATTCTTTTCATCACCTGAGAACATCAAGAAACAGGGATATTCAAAGTTAAACGAAGAAAAGAAAGAAATATGAGATTTTTTCTTTCTTTCTTCACGCTTACAAGGATCTCGAACGGTTCCATGGACAGTGTAGCCACGGGAGAGAAGAAACTTGACGAGCCATGAAGCAATATATCCTCCTGAACCAGTAACACAGACTCTTTGCTTTTCCGCCATTGATTGTGGCTTTCTTGAGCAAATTTTTAAGATGAACTAAAGAGAAAACAGGTCCCAAAGTATTTATACACAATTCTCTAACTGAAATAACGTATAGTTAGGATGTGGATAAAGATTGCAAGTTCAGATTTTTAAACATTGGAATATTCAAATAAAATAAATTTCTGTCTCGAATTCGAAGGAATATATACAAAAACATCTTTACATGTGACTTTTTCTTAGTTAAGAAACATCTAAAAGGAATAAAAATATCATTTTCACAGGCGACTTTTACTATAGGACTTTGAAGTTTCTAAAATGAAAAATCTAAAGGAAAATAGACTTTGAACTTTCTCATGCAAATAGTCTAATTTGATATCTTTCTCAGAAATTTACAGTCTGTTAACAGGTGTGGATCTCTCTGCTTACTTATTCTCTCTCACACAATTGGGCAGAAAAGTCTCTAATCTTAAAGAAACAAAAGAAGAAGAAGACAATGTTGAATTGTATACAATAACTGATTCAGATTATATGGACTAAAAAGAAGGATGTGTACATAGAGCTTTGTCAGTTTTATAGCACGACAAGAACTAATTAAAACTGAATCCAAAATAAGGATTTTAGATATCTAGAGCTTTGTCAGTTTCTACTTAAATTGGAGATTTCTCCTGAACCTAACAGTAAGAGCAACAAAATTGAGTAAAAGAACACAACAGATGATGAAAAAATGACAATTAGACATGGACGAGTTATATAACAAGAAGAAACATTTGTGGCCTCAAGGATCCTTTCCAATTCCTTGACAGCATATAAAGCTCTCACATTAAACTTATTAACCAAGAAATCAAGTAGTAACGAAACACAATAAACTTAAGGGTCACAACTGAAAACTGGCCAAGTTTCAAGAACACTAACATGTTCTCGTGGGCCAGACAAGGCAAACTATTTATGAAGGCTACAGAACATGAGAGTAAGTAGCACAGTGTCTTGTGTAAGGGAAAAGAACGACTCTTTTCTGATTCCAAGCTTGTGATCAGAAATCCTGAAATCGTAACACTTTGATTTATGAACTTACTTAAACAGGCTAATCACTAATTAATAGAAGAAATTTTAGTTAAGAGCTTAAATCAGAAATCTCTAGATTTAACTTGACTTGTCTTAAACTACGTATAAGAAGACAGAGAGGAGAGGACCACGTCTGACATAAGTTAGATAGTCGCAAGATTTGCCTAAAAATCAGAAAGGAGCAGAAATAGTTAGCCATAGGGAGAGAGAGAATCCGTACCTATACGTCATCGAGTCTTCAAATGATAGAAACCTGAATTTACAGAGAGACTAAAGTCAAGGGAGATTGAAGAAAAAACTATCTTCTGTTTAAACGACAACGTTTTGGCTTAGACCAAAGGCCCCATCCTAATCAGATTAGTTATTCGCTGGCTGCTCAAATTTAGATCCAACACATCATCAAGCTTATCGACATAACACAACCATGGATTTGCCTTTTTGTGGTAAACTTGTAGTTCTCTTCTTCTTCTTTATTTTTTATTAGTTACGGCTTCTCTTTAAAAAAATGAATTTTAAAAAGGATTTTGTACGTTTGTGCAAAGGAATCTGAAAATAGAAAATCAAAAGTATATATTATACATAGCAATATAACATCAATCCAATATAAACTCAACATATAGTATTTATTAACTTACGGGGGGTTGGTTTTGTTTGTCTGCTTTCTTCGAGTAAGGTCGAGAGACCCAGAACGTGACAATGTGACTTCCACTGCCTTAGGACAAAAACAATATATGGACCCCACCTCACAAGTCACAACTCATTTAATACACATTTAATATCTTGTGTTACTTTAAGACATTTATATACTTTTTCTATTTTTTGTGCTACTACATTATTTACGTTATGATTTTAGAACTAACTTAAACCTATTCACGTGTTTTTTTTTTTTGCGCAAACCTATTCATGTGTTTATAAGCTTCAATTTCTTAGAATTGTATCTTGTTATATAAAGTCGAATGTTTTCAGTTTTTAAGTGCATTTTTGTTTAACTCTACGTTGATCCAACAAAGACAAAATATGCTCTATGTCAAAAGGTGCTGATATTTTTATAAAATTATCTGTAGCAACATCTATAAAATATTTGGTCATACTATACTAATTTGGACTCACGAGTAGTGAGTCACTACCGACGATGATTTTAAATATATCAACGACGTACTGTGTTATATAGATTATCAATGACTAATTGTTTACAAATAAACGATGATGTATAGTATAACAAATGAATATGATTTTATTTGTCAAAGCTGAGTAGATACTTGACTAATTTTTGTGTTCTTCTTTCTGATTAAGGTTACTGAACATCGACTAATCTTTCCAACTGTTGAAATTTTTTAAGTTTTAGCCGCTTCAAATGAAGCAAGTAAACAGGAAGACCTCACATACAAAAAAGGTTGTTTTGTGTTCTGTAACTATAATTAAAGAGAGCCAAACGTCTTCACCTCCATTTTCTTGTGAATTATATATCAATCAAATCACATTTAATGGAATTATGAACCCAAAAACAAAAAAATCACATCAAATCGAACATATATTTTCACGTTTTTCAAATGGAAAAAAACACGTCCAATGGTCCTATGGTCCTTTCAACTCATTTAATATTTTGTGTCTATACTCTACACTTACAAACTTTTTCTATTTTTTGTGCTATTATTTACGTTATGATTTTTATAACTAACTTAAACCTATTATTTTTTTGGTTTAAAACTTAGACCTATTCATTTGTTTATAAGCTACATTTTCCAAGAACTATATTAATATATAGTTTTGTTCCAGATAACCATATTTGTAACAACGTGTAAATTGTTATAAGATTGGTACCATATGAGCCAAATCGAAGAATGAATGCTAAAAATATGTTCTCTTTGTTTCTAATTTTTGTTTTTTGGGAAAGAAAAAGCTTATTTCAAAAACATGAATGTTTTCAGTTTTCATGGGCATTTTTTTAACTCAATGCTGATAAAAAAAAAATGCTCTATGTCAAAACTCAAAAGGTGCTGTTTTTTTTTATAAAATTATTTGTAGCAACGTCTATAAAAAAAAAAATTGGTCATACTACCCACGATGATATCAACGTCGTACTGTTACCTAGATTACCAATGAGTAATTATTTACATATACGATGATTTATAGAGCAAATGAATATGATTTTATTTTTTTAAAGCCGAGTGGATATTTGACTAAGTTTTTTGTTCTTCTTTCTGATTAAGGTTAATGAACATCGACTAATCTTTCTTACTGTTATGAAATGTTAAGTTTTAGCCGCTTTTTCAAACGAAACAAGTAAATAGGAAGAACTCACATACAAAAAGTTGTTTTGTGTTTTGTAACTATCTATAATCAAAGAGAGCCAAACTTCTTCACCTCCATTTTTTTTTGTGAATTATCACTCAAATCACATTAAATTTAGTTTAAAAAAAAAATCACATCAAATGCAAAATCACATTATATAATATATTTTCACGTTTTTCATGTTACGTGGTCCTTTGGTCCTGTACTCCTGTCGACTTCATGAAATAATAAAACTGTTTAAAACTAAAAAATAACTTTTATTTTCTCAATACAATTTGAAACTATAACTTAAAGTTCTTAAAAAATACAATAATAGTAATTTTTAGCGTTGTATTAAAGGGAATATGTCTTTATAGTGATATACTGTTATTATTTTAACAAATTTTGTTCGTTATAATGATTTTGCGGCTTTATGATTCAAAGTTTCAAACATTTTGCATATATTTTTTCATTTGACATTCCAGTTTTTTTTGTTTCTGTCGGCTACGTACAGTTAAATTACCTGGATGACAAATTGACAACTAATTTTACTTGAATTTATTCTCTGTGAATTTTTTTTAAAAATGTGAAGAAGCCTAATAATAGACGTAAATAAGTAAAAAAAATCGAAGTAATTAGCGAGCTGGTCCCAAACAGAAAAGCGCGTTTGTCTCCTATAAAACTTGCTAATCTCTCTCTCCCTTCCCTTTCTCTCCCACACTTATCACGCCACATCACCACCTTCTCCTTCCTCTCCCTCTCGCTGGAGATTCCTCCAATGGATATCCGACGGAGGCCTCCCAAACCGCCGGTTAACTCCAACGGACCTTACCCCTCCTTCCACAAGGATCCCTCTCCTTCCTCCGACGATGCTCACCGCCGCCGCACCGCGATCGCTCCACCCAAAGCCTCCGACGCGCTTCCCCTCCCTCTCTACCTCACCAACGCCGTGTTCTTCACTCTCTTCTTCTCCGTCGCGTATTATCTCCTCCACCGGTGGCGTGACAAGATCCGTTACAACACCCCTCTCCACGTCGTCACCATCACCGAGCTCGGCGCCATTATCGCCCTCATCGCCTCCTTCATCTATCTCCTAGGGTTTTTTGGCATTGACTTTGTCCAGTCATTCATCTCCCGCGCTTCCGGCGACTCTTGGGATCTCGCCGATACAACCGATGCCGACAGGAATTTCCTCATCAACGACGATCACCGCCTCGTCACCTGCTCTCCTCCTCCACCGATCGTCTCCGTCGCCAAATTACCCAATTCAGAGCCGATTGTGAACGAATCGCTTCCCGAGGAAGACGAGGAGATTGTGAAATCAGTCATCGGCGGCGTGATCCCGTCGTATTCGCTCGAATCTCGTCTCGGCGATTGCAAGCGAGCTGCGTCGATCCGGCGCGAAGCTCTGCAGAGGATAACCGGAAGATCGATCGAAGGATTACCGTTGGATGGATTTGATTACGAATCGATTTTGGGGCAATGCTGTGAGATGCCTGTAGGATACGTCCAGATTCCGGTGGGGATCGCTGGACCATTGCTGCTCGACGGCTGCGAATACTCCGTTCCGATGGCAACAACGGAAGGATGTCTCGTTGCTAGCACCAACAGAGGCTGCAAGGCCATGTACGTCTCCGGCGGAGCCACCAGTACGGTTCTCAAGGACGGTATGACCCGAGCACCCGTCGTCCGGTTCGCGTCGGCTAGACGAGCTGCTGAGCTCAAGTTTTTCTTGGAGAATCCAGAGAACTTCGACACCTTGGCCGTCGTTTTCAACAGGTCAATCTCTTCAAACAATATTCTCCTCTAGATTTGACAGGAAGCTTTTACATCGAATCTGTGTGGTATAATATTGCATTGGAACTGCATGTGGAGTGATTTTGATTTGAAGATTGAGAAATTTGTTTCATCAATTGACAGAGAAGTGGTTATTGTGTGGTGTGCAGGTCAAGTAGATTCGCTAGGCTGCAAAATGTTAAGTGCACAATCGCCGGAAAGAATGCTTATGTAAGGTTCAGTTGTAGCACCGGTGATGCCATGGGGATGAATATGGTTTCCAAAGGTGTCCAGAATGTTCTTGAATTCCTCACCGATGATTTCCCCGACATGGACGTCATTGGAATCTCCGGTTAGTTTAGTGTCCTCTTGAGATTATACTATCTTGTGAAATTTTGAGAACCGTTCTTGATCTTGATCTTTATCTTCTTGATTTCTCGTTCAGGTAACTTCTGCTCGGACAAGAAACCGGCGGCAGTGAACTGGATCGAGGGACGTGGAAAATCAGTGGTTTGCGAGGCGGTGATCAGAGGAGAGATAGTTAACAAAGTGTTGAAAACGAGCGTGGCTGCTTTGGTGGAGCTGAACATGCTCAAGAACCTAACTGGCTCTGCGATTGCAGGGTCTCTAGGTGGATTCAACGCGCACGCAAGCAACATAGTCTCAGCTGTATTTATAGCCACTGGCCAAGATCCAGCTCAGAACGTTGAGAGCTCTCAATGCATCACGATGATGGAAGCCATCAACGACGGCAAAGATATCCATATCTCTGTCACTATGCCTTCTATTGAGGTAACTAAATCTCTTGTGACCTCACTTTTTTATAGAGTTTATTGAATTTTAGAGGTTTGATTTTGATTATGGTTTGGATGTTTCAGGTGGGGACAGTGGGAGGAGGAACACAGCTGGCGTCACAATCGGCGTGTTTAAACCTGCTGGGAGTGAAAGGGGCGAGCACGGAGGCGCCGGGGATGAATGCGAGGAGGCTAGCGACGATAGTGGCCGGAGCAGTGTTGGCCGGAGAGTTATCGCTAATGTCAGCAATAGCAGCTGGACAACTGGTGAGGAGTCACATGAAGTACAATAGATCTAGCCGAGACATATCTGGAGCAACCACAGCAACAACAACAACATGATCTTGGAATCATCATCATCATCATACCTGTCTTGACTTGATCTCTCTGTGGCCCAAAACATTTAAAAACGGCAAAAATCCAAAGAAAGGCAGCTTTTTACAACTCATTCACTCGAACTCGATCTCTGGTATGACAGATTTTAGCCATGTGCAATGCCTTATGCCCTTTTGTTCAATAAAATCTTATTTTTTGTTTTTTGTTTGACTTGGAATCTTTTTTTTTTTGGATTAAGGGAGGGGGAGAGAGAGAGAGGAGAGATTCGGGATTTTTTCAATTTCTCCTTCTCTGTTTCTCTCTCTCATGGATAATTCGTGTCTATTTGATCTGTCTAAGGTTTGTCTTTGTTTGTTAGGAAGTGATGTCTATATGGAAAAAAAAATGTATGCAGTTGCGTTTGGGGACATGAATGTGCACTCTTTAAGATTTTTTCTCTGCTTTGTTTCTTTCATTTTTAATTATTTCTTTCTTTATAGTATAAAATTTCCCTTTGTGTTGGGACATCTCTCTCTAGTCTCTAGTAATTTGTTGGGACATCTCTCTCTCTAGTCGTTGTTGGTACTTGGTAAGATACGGATCTTCTTTCCTCCAGAAGACTCCATCTCTATATGATATTCACATGACACTTACCTCAGTCCTCAAAATAATTCCAAGTTGCATATTGTTTTAACGGAATAAAGAAAACAGAGAGTTTCTGTTGGTCCACCAAGTCAAATGATTTATATAGCTTTTACAACTTTTATATGTTTCATGATTGAGATTCAGATTATAGAGTTTTTCTAGAGACTGCCATGTGATGTATACCACAACCCCTGCCAAGTTATCAACATTTGAAGTGACACTGAGGAATATATTATATAGCTGTCACATTCCACACCATTACTCTCATAGAACCCCAAAGCCTAAAGAAAGTAGAAACACAAATCAGTAAATAAACCAATGTTTACAATCTCACAATCCCAAACTCATTCGTGTTTACAAAAAAGGGTTTGATCTTAGTTCTTTGATAGCAAAACATGGAAAGATAAGGAGGGTGAAAATAACATCAAAGATCACGACGAAAAAACAGAGAGACGTGTGAAATAACGGAAAGAACCCAAGTATTTTTCAGTTTGGTTTGGTTTTCTCAGTTTCATTGTGATTAAATTGAGACTGGGCCCATTTAGTATTGGGCCACTAAAAGACTACATGTACAAATCATAGAGTTTTAAAGTAGACGAGAACAGAAATTCGTCTTATCTGTCTGGGTCTCAGATTGGGTCCAAATCCTCGACAATAACCACAAAAATCCATTAGGTTAGGTGAAGATGTGGGCCTTATCTTCTCGAGTCATTTCGGTAATTTGAGTTGGAATCTTACAAAATTTGAATGCAAAAAAATACAAAGACGTTCTAATAATTCATTTGGAAAAAGCACTAAAATTCGAATGAACTTTTTAGTTTTGGTTTTGTCAAGTTATTCGGCATTAAAGCTACTAAAATAATAATGAAAAAGACATGATAATTGGGTGGATGGGGTTACCGGGTTAGTGGCACAACACAAGTCGTCAAAAAATATATATGATATATTGAGAATAATTTAAAGTTATCAAACAATGTTGTCCCGTAATCTTCTGTTTTTCCCGCCTGCTTTTTTAAAGTTATCAAACAAAATTCAATGGGTTATAATCATCTTCTTTTGTCAACAAATTTTAATTTAAAGTTATACATAAAAAAAATAACATGGACCGACGAGAGAGTATTTAACTATTTGTGTATGGAACAGATATGATCTCATATTAAACTCTAGTCAACCTTTTATGCCAGGTGGAAAATAAGGATGGAATGGAATCTAGTTTTGTATGGGTGTTTATATCACACTTGTATGTACCGTAGATGCAATGCATTATGCAAGGTGAGGTCCAACGACTATAGATTCGGTCCAGTCCGAGGTCACATGTTTGGTTTCACTTGTATTTTGTGTAATTAAATAAAATATGCTATTTAAATGATTTTGGTCTCGAATGTTTTCAGATATTTGAAGCTACACTAATTCAAACTAAAGTCGTATTTTTCCTACTATAATAAAGCTTGCATAATATAATTATATATGTCGTGCATCATGTATAAAACATGTAGTCAATCATTTTCAAATGCATCTTTCCCTTAATTAACTACTGATCAATACAGATACGCTCAATAGTATTAAAAAGTATTAATGTACGATTCTATTTACAACTTCAAAAATAGTGTATTTTAAACTTAGTTCGAGTTATAATATACACACTTTGAACATGCTTCGAACGATATAAAATCAAGGGAAAATTAGGTGAATAATAATATTGAGTATCAATATTAAGCTTATAGCCATTATAAATGGAAAATTAAGTCAATAGCAATGAGAATTAATTTTGGACGGTTTTGTCCTTCTCTAAAGAAACTGATATTGACACAAAAGTTACGCGAGTATCTTTCAAAGCTTCAATGACGAACTGGGTTTATCTCTATTACAACTAAATACAATTCGATATAGAAATAATTGAAGGCTATCTAAAAGATAAATTAGCAATGGCTAGCTTCATAACATACTGGGCAATACAAAAAGGATTGCGATACAGTTCGGATTGCCAAAGTTTGGTTTTCATGATTCATAATAGTGGTCAATTGATCTCGATTTTATTTACACCCAAAAATCATAGAAAAACTTAGATGTAATCGAAGCAGAAAAATAGATTAAAAAGAAATTGAAGATGTCATGAAAGAAAAAGAGTAGGAAAATACAAGAAAATCTCATTGTTCTCTTTTATCATGTAGAATTTGGTTATTTTGGTATTATTATAGAAAATATATGATATATTTTAGTCATGTTCAAATAATGGTTATTCACTTAATTATATGTTTTATTATTGTTAATTTACTGCTATTTCCCTAAAATCAACTCTCAAAGAAAAAAAAAAAAAACAGATGGATTTCCAAACAAAAAGTAATTGAATTTCAAGAGTTGGATATATGAGATAACTTATTGTTCATAAAGAAAGAAAAAAACGAAAGTCGAGGTATTTAATAGCACAACAATATCCACGTGGACCAAGTACCGAGGCTTCCGACCGCCTCCACGTGGTACAACAGCTCAGCTTCTGCTCTGACATTTTGACCCGCACGTGACTTTGCTCCGTGCACGTGTGGATCAAGCAGACTGTGTGATTCACGTCATGAGTCGTCCGATTGCGCCGGTCATGTAAACGAACGGCTCTGATCGAGACTCGTGTGGGGTCCTACTTGCTTGCCTGACGCACATGCATCCACGTTAAGGAGACGATTCAAAGGTCTATTAATCATGTGCTAACATCGTTACTAATCACATACTTATCTTTACAATTTCTATTTTTTCGTCCCAAAATGCAAATTTCATCTCCACAAGTACGAAATACTTCATTTCCCTAATGCATCACTTGTCCACAAAGTAGTATACTGTATAACTAATTACTCTCCTTCTCGTGGGAACTATCACTTGTATAAGTGACCACAAACTCATAATCAAACATACACCTAAATGTTTCTGTACAACATATTATTTGATATAGTGGATTTAGTTTTGCAGTAATAAATTATAGATAGACCACTTTGGTCTCTCAAAATCTACTGGTTACCTACTTTGACTTCTTCGTTTTGTAAATTTTAGTTTACAAATACTTTCTATGTTAAACTTGTTTGATGATTCTCAACAGTTAAAAACTTTTCCCCCTCAGTTTATTTTTCTTTTATCACCACATCTTCGGTAGTCAATTTTTTCTATAGTTTTTATGTTTCGTCCAATCTCCAGCTAGCCTTAAATTTAGGTTGCGGCGAATGGTGTTAAGAGATTGTGATATAAATGTATTATGTTATCTAAATGCCCAGACTATAACAAAAAAATAATTTTCAACACGTATTGTTTTTTTTTTTTTGTTTGAGAACTAACACGTATTGTTTTTGTTCTTCTTCTATACCATTTTCCACATTCTAAAGCTTTCACATAAAGTAATATTTAAATGTGTGCCACAAATGTCAAATGCTTTAGATATTTATTTTATAGCTCACAAAGACACACGCATTTATAAAATTATATTTACCTATGGTCTTTGGAAAAAAAATTTGAAACTTAATCTAGTACTCCGTATGTAGTAAGAATTTCGATGATTGGTTTTTTGATAACCAGTAAAAATACTCAGCCATGATTGAAATTGAATTAATTCGTTAACTTTCATGATGAGCTTTTTGGTTGCGACGCATAACATACTCTTAGTTAATTAATTATTCGCTCTTATCTACTAAACCATAAATTATTCTTAGTTATGTCCGCCCTCTTTGGGTACAGTAAAAGTGGATAAAATTTTATCACTTTATTAAACTAGTAAGAAACTCTTGTGAGACTAGTCCAAATCTTTTTAATAACCTTGGGCACCACCAAGATCGAGTATACGTAGCAGAATAGAGGAGGGAATACACGTGCAAACTATTATGGTATGTTGTTAATTAATTAACGAAGTACGGTTAAACATTTTGAAGTATTCTCAAACGTTGAAGCCAAATATGCACAACTATATTCTACTAAACATGTTTCATTTTCGTTTGAAAGAACTAAACGTATTTTATATACGATCAATCCTGCAGTACCATTATCCGCATAGTAAAATAAATCCTTATAATAACATATGTTTACTGAATCCAAAATTATTTTAATCTTGGTTTCAATTGATGATGAAATTTGAGCATATAGGCGTTACATGTAAGCGTCTCTGCCTCAAGACGATTGGCTGGATTCATCGGTAATCCTTAGCTCTTCATGTTTGATTTCTGTTTCTTCTTTTTCAGTATAGATTTTGTTTCAAAAAAAGAAAAGCAGTATTCGTTTTTTGTATTATACCTTTTATTATTTGTCTAACAGTATATAATTTTCAAATTGCATTGCAATAAACTAAAACAAAAAAATACGCTTTAAAACCACATTTATCATGGAACAAATGACGTATATAAGAATTTTCAGCAGTGATATATAAATATAAGCCTGTCTTCTCATCTTCTTCTATTCGTACTGTATTATTTAATTTGGCATCATTTTCGTAATCCCCCTTTCTCTTTTCCGAGCAACAAAAAAAAAATTTCCTTATTTTCTCTTTGAAGATTCAAGTCTAAAATACTCCCTATAGTTTCTCCGCTTGTAGCTATAAGCCAAAGAAAAATAAAATCGAATATATCCAGAGAAGAAAACTCGAAACCCTTGTCTTCTCTTGGATTTCAATATTTCATGTATATATAATTATATACTATTAAAATGCGATTATGCGTATATAATATATTAATACTATGCCACTATGCTTACTAGCTAAATTTATAATTTATATAAAAAAAAAAACAGGAATGATTTTCTGCTAAATTCTCGGTGTGTCTTTTGCTGCTTCCTTTTTTTTGCTTTCCTCGTTGAACAAAAGTATTGCAGAGACAGTCACTCTCTCTGCACATGGATTAATTTGAAGCTTTTCTAAAAAAAATCGGTTTCACATATATCACTAAATACGACGTCGTCTCGTAGTGAAGAATCTGCTACTCTCTTGCCCTAAAGCGAGTTAGGGTTCAACACACACATAACACACCCTTTTGATTTGTGTCTCTTTGCTCTGTCTTTGTCGGTTTGTGTAACCGATCAATTCAAGCTATTGGCTCCTCACTCCCTAAAATTTGACTTCTTCACTGGATCTCAAAAGTTTTCCTCTATATAACCAAAATCATTATATATGAGCCACAAGAACAAGACCCACTAGTAGATACGGCGGAGATGGACGGTGGTTTCGATCAAACCGGAGGAGCTTCTAGGTACTTCCAAAACCTCTTCAGACCTGAGTTTCACCACCAGCTCCAACCTCAGTCTCAGCCACAGCCTCAGCCTCAAGCTAAATCAGATGGTGAATCTGACTCCAACAAGGATCCGGGCCAACCCGATTCCGACCCGGTTAACTCGGGTTCCACTCCGGGGAAGCGTCCACGTGGACGTCCTCCGGGATCTAAGAACAAGCCGAAGCCACCGGTGATAGTGACGAGAGATAGCCCCAACGTGCTTAGATCTCACGTTCTTGAAGTCTCAGCTGGAGCCGACATCGTTGAGAGCGTAACCACTTACGCTCGCCGTAGAGGGAGAGGTGTCTCTGTTCTCAGTGGTAACGGCACGGTGCTTAACGTCGCTCTCCGCCAGCCGGTGACGGTTCAGGGGAATAATGGTGTAGCTGGAAGCACTGGTGGGGTTGTGACTTTACATGGAAGGTTTGACATTCTTTCCCTCACAGGTACGGTGCTTCCGCCGCCTGCACCGCCGGGATCCGGTGGTCTATCAATTTTTGTCTCCGGTGGACAAGGACAGGTGATCGGAGGAAGCGTGGTGGCTCCGCTTCTGGCTTCAGGTCCAGTGATCCTAATGGCTGCATCGTTCTCTAACGCAACTTTCGAGAGGCTTCCGATTGAAGATGAAGTAGGAGATGGCGCAGGAGAAGTCGGAGGAGGAGGAGGAGGAGGTCCACCACCGGACACGTCAACATCACCGCCGTCTGGAGCCGGTCAGGGAGAGTTAAGAGGTAACATGAGTGGTTATGATCAGTTTTCCGGTGATCCTCATGTGCTTGGTTGGGGAGCCGGAGCCGCAACAAGACCACCTTTCTAGATTTGAAAACTATATGTATCCGTAATATAGCTATAACCATAATTTAATTTTGAAAATAAAAAAAAAATCATTTTATGATAGCGACATCTTTTTAATTATTTGGGGTTTCTTTTGGTTTCGAATGTAGTTGATATCATAATATGAATATTTGAATTCGTCTTCTCCATCTACATTTTCTCTTCTTTTTTTATTCACTAGAGTTCTGTGCTGAATCCTATTATATTATTTGTTACATGCTTGACCTCACAGAAAGAATATTGATAGTCGAAGCCAATCTTCTTATGACTTAGCTTCGTACTGATAACAAGTATGTGTAATCCCCTTTTGTGGTTGGTATGAAAGGTAATCACTTAATCTATGTTACTATGTGTACCAAATAACAAATCAAACACCCGTTCTTTTTCATTCATTTAGTTATCACATTTTGATGTGCTTCGAATTTTCATGTAAGTAAAGAGGCTTCTACAACATTGAACATGTATAGTAAAGGACTTCAAATCAAGTTTATGCACAGAATCTTGATTTGTTGATACATGTTTTAAGCAACTGATTCTAATTTGTTTTTCGATGAAATCAATATCTTTCTTCGATCTTATCAATTTTCGAAAAAACACGAGTGTTGTCTGAATTATATGAAGCCAAGAATCACGAAAGTAACGCTTTGAAAACTCATGAAAAAAGTTAAAGTGTCTTTAAACATTTATGAGAATAGTTTTAAAGAACGGTTACGACAATAAAAACATATCACTACAAGAAAGTTTGTTGGTCCGTTACAGTGATGTTTACAAAGAACTTTGTTCGTCCGTTTCAAAGATATTTACATAGAACTTTGTTTGTCCGTTACAGCGATATTTACATAGAACTTTGTTTGTCCGTTTCAGCGGTGTATACATACCATAGAGATGATACTTTTTCGACCGTTACAACAGCTAGATTAGTGGTGGAAACATGACATTATATGACCTGCCAAAACTAGACATGGAAAACATTTGGCTGAGAGTTTCATTAGTTTCCCTTTATGATTAGGAAACTCAGTGACAACATAGCCAAGTGGGGTCTTGAGTACCTAGATGTGTGAAAATGAGGAATGTATCAAGTTCCTAGGAAAATTAAGTTTGGATAATAGAAAAAAAAGACACGTAAAATTTTAAGTTTCATAGATGTATAAAAGGAAAACCTTTTCTATGACCAATGCATGTCCAAAGGAGATTCGTGGTGAAATATCTCCAATGAGTTTGGGAAAATTATTTATTCATATGTAAGAAAATAGAATAATTGACGGCTTAATTTTTGTTTGTCAGTAACACGTTATCGTATATACATCAGCTGGTGATACGGTAATTATACTATCACAAACCATTAGCTTACTTGTCTTCATTAGTTATAAGTATAAGAGGAGAGTGAAAGTTGGATACAAACTTAGATTCTTGTTTCTAATGGAAAGATTCAAAATTTTCATATATTTGCGTTTTAACGGTTGAAGCATGTAAAGAGAATTAAAGGGTATTGTACTTTCGGGACCTTTTAGATACATGCAATAAGACTTTATCTTTTGACGATTTTGATGTGGTCATGTCATGTGCCTTGCATGCAATTGAGCAACACAATACCGAGAACAAGATTCGGATCTTCGTGAACATCCTATAGAAATTGAGTGTATTGTGGTTTTCTACGTACGCTGATAAGTACTTATAAGTGAGCTCTAGCCTATGGAAAGATTTATACATATATAGCATTTGTTACAAAAACCATATGAGGGGTAATCTTAGATATCTTCTACACTACGTAGAGACTATATGGCTTCATACTAAATTGTGAAGTGGATATTATGGTTATAATTCTTATAATGAAATTGTGATTATATATGGTTGGTTATTGTACACACGTGACACGTTACATGATGCATAATAATAATACCGAACTCTTACACAAGTTCTTAATATTAGAACCATTTTATGAATTACTACCATAGCTTTTATATGAGATTTAATATATCAAAAGTCTACTATCACACACAAATTTCTTGTAAACCTTATCAAAAGTCTACTATGATTACGAACACATTTATTTGTAAAAACTACTAAAAGTCTACTATGATTTACACAAAAATTTCTTTGTAAAACTTACTTTCATATCTTTTCATAAATATACATGTGCATTAGCTAAAAGAATTTGAATTCTTATTTCCTTGTTCCTTTACCAATAAGTGAAGAGAAAAACAAGAGACTGTAACTCTGTATGTATAACCTTTTATGAAAGGATTTAAGAATGCAATATTTCATAACTTAAAGATGAGATTCATATACTATAAAAATTTTTAAAAAAACAACAAATTATTCGAAAATCATAAGCTTCCAAATTCAAACCACACTGTTATTGTTTTTTGCAAAGCATACTTGACTAAAAGTATCAGGAGACGCCTCCTACTATCTTCATTCTTCGTTTCTCTACTTTAATCTTCAGAACTCCGAAGTTGCATCCATACAATTTTCACATTCGCTGACGTTTTCAGCTCCGATACAAACGAATTCCTAAAGAACCAAAGATATCGTCGAATCCCAATTTCATCAAAGAAACATATGAAGAAGAACGAGCTCACTTGAGATGATCACCACCAACCAGTCACTGCTCAAAGGGGACTCGCACAAACAGTCGACCATGCAGGCTCACCACCGCTGATGTGTGCAACGGATCGATTCTTGCAGGAAAATTCACAATCTACACCAAACACCGAAATCAAAACCAAAACACGAGACTATCATTCAGTTAGTATATATGGTGGCTCTGTTTCTGAGAGATGTAACCTAACCTTTTTGAAGGCTGTGATCCCCCAAGGATTGTCAAGCTGCTCAGGTTGGCCTGCTATAACTAGCCTCCCTGCCGGATCTGATTGAACGCGAACCTGAAAGGAAGAGCACAGCAACTTACTGATCAAGAAGCCCTTAAAGAAGACTTGAGTTCCAAGGAAAAAAAGGCTCACCTCTTCACGAAGAAGCCCTGGTACAAGGGCAAATATCTCAAAACAGTCTTTCTGTGAATAAAGACGACAAAACAAAAATTTGGTTAGATTTCAGATTCAAAACAAAGAGCCAGATTTGTTAGTTAGTCTAGTTTCAAAAATTTGGGTACATGTTGCATTACAAGACGCAGAGAAAGATACTCACAGTTTCTCTGACGTTTATCTTCACCCAGTCTGCAGGGGGTCCAGGTCCAACATCAATAACCTCGGCACTTGATCTATCACGTCCAAAAAACCATATCAATCAATCTCTTACTATAATCATACACAAGAAATGAAAAAAATATATACAGGAGAAAGATTAGCTTTCGTAACTGTTTGTCTGTTTCGTGAGATAAAGCAAGGTCCATGCCGGTTGGTGTTTTTTGTTTCTGCACACCAACGCTTTTGAGGTTCTTTTGCTTTGGGGTTGAGTTTAAGCCTTTATCCTAAAAAGACAGAAGACACAAAGAGCATCATGGTTTAAGCACATGCTTGTGAATGGAGGGAGAATCATGAAGCGTGGGGAAGATCTAAATAGAAACCTTAACATTAGGCTCAGTCACCTCAAGGCGCTGAGCATGCCAACCTTGCATTGCACGAGCTGCAGCATCTCTTCTTGCTCTGCCTGACCCTACTGAACCTTGATGGCTACTTGCCTGCATAAGTACCCTTACATCAATGTAACTATCCTTACATCTGGGTTATATAGATTACACGTGTTCATAGGAAATTTCTAACCTCTTTTTCAAGGCCGGAAGACGGAACCAAAGCACCAGGAAGGTTGAGCTCACCATTTTGTCTCAAATGCTTTTCATACTCTAAAAGTGCCTGCGCTTGGAAAAATGAGGATATGAATCAAGAAGTATCTCTACATCCATATGATTTGATAGGATTGAAACCAACCAGAACATTCAATGTTCAAGAGATAGTAGTGCATCGAAGAAGTAATGAAATTCACCTTCTCATAGAAAATGCGGAAAGTCCAGGAGACTGTAGTGCATGTCCTGGATAAGACAATTGAGCAAAAAAATTGAGTAGCCAAAATCACACAAAGACGGATACATTGGGGAGTTACAAAACGAGCCATACTTAGGAGGATGAAAGGATTCTCCAACTTGCCGCCATAGCTTAGATGTGGTGACCTATGTAATAAAATGAAAATCACATGCATTTTATATACCACATACATATAACTTCACCCAGAAAGGACCAGATTTGAGTACAATACTCCAAACAAAGCAGATGACAGTAAACTAAATCAGTTTCCAAACACAGACCTAACTAAACTAACATATAACTGCACTTAACTTATTCCTTCCCCGAAACCATTCCTTGGTCTTATATACTCTTCTTATATATTAGCTAACACTAGTATAAGATTTTTAACCTATATCGGGAATGAAAGTGGATACTTACGACGTCATAGCCACCTAACTTGATGACGGCTCGCCATAACCTACAATGCAAAGCAAAGCAGAAGTCAGAAAAATATTAAACAGATATAATACATTTTCCAAAAAATTAAAGGCAACCGTTTCCTGCAACTCACTTGAGACAATTTAAGGGCTGTCCATAAAACTTAGGAGCTTTGAATTCAAGGAGATTCTCCTTGTGGAAAGACTCCACTTCTCTAATAAACCCTTCTTGATCCTCTGGCGTCCCTGCTTCATCAACTTCCCTGGCCTGTAAAACAAACGTGAACTTATAAATGAACTAGAGCCAATCATGACACCAATGACAAAGCTCCGTTCCCTTAAAATGATAAACGTGCTTCCTTTACCTCGGAATCACTTAGCAGCCATGTCTTCCACTTCTTGACACTTTCATCTGCAACAGAAGGCGTCGATGGTTCACCTACCTTCAGAGGAGCTGATTCCTCCAGTGTTATCTCCTCTTGACCGCCATCACTCGTAATCTTCTTTTCAGACTGATCAACATCACCAACACTGTTCTGAACACATTCCTCTTCATTAGCTATTGGAGCATCAGATAAATGAAC